GAATCACTTTTGCCGGTGTAATGCTGAGGCTTGCCGATGTAGTAATCAGCTTTATCCTCATAGAAGAGACTAGAAGCAACTACAAGATTTCATGAAGAATGAAAGGCTTTACTGGTCTGATGTCAGTCCCAGATCTGAGAAAGGAGGACTACCCATTTCCCTCTCTTATTCTAACTAAAGACTCTAGAAGCTAGAAGTCTGTGCTTAGCGTAATGAAGCTGCTCATTTTCTCTTTTTTCCTAATACCAGTTAGAAGAAATGAAGTTTTCACAGAAGTTCTGAGTCAGAGCGTTCCGTACAGGGTCAAGCATCAAGTCGTTCAAAATGACTCGCTCAGTACGACCTCCTCTACAAAGGGACCTTCCCAAAAAAAACTCGTGGAAGAAACCTTTCAGAACACCTCTTCCAATGATGATGAATAGGAACTGAAGCAGAGGCACTGTCTAATCTCTCCATGGGGTGAGCCATGAACTTGACTTTCATTCGGAATCGCAGCTGTTTTGACAGGTATGTGGACCAAGGAAACAACTCTGAAAAAAGCTGAGGCGCTCCATAGCGACGCACAAAAGTATAACACATGGCAATTTAACACAAGCTGCCACTTTACTGTTCATCATTGCTATCAGAGCATACCTGCGTCGCAGATTTTCACGACGAACCCTTTACCCTGGCCCCGTGTTCCGTTTTATGACATTTGTAAACGAACTTTGATTTTTTAAATTTTTTGTCTCTACAAAAAACAGCAAGCGGATTCGTGGTCTTCGCAGTTTACTATTCCTAGTGACTTTTTAGAATTTTTCGAACAGTCAGTTAATGTTTACTGTTACTTTCTTATTATTTTTCAGTATACAACGTCGGACTCGATCGGCATTAAAGGCCGTGACTTCGTTGTATGTCGAATGTGGAGGAAGGTAAACTGTAGATTTCAACTCATGTACTTCTAATTCCAGTAGTGATCTAACAAATGGCTGGAGGTGATCTAGGACACTTGATTTATTCCAACTTGAGGCGGTCATCCTTCAAGTGTTCCAACTTGGCTACATTAAATAACAAGTTGTTAAGAGAGGTTTCTCAGTTTCCAGGATTTAGTTCGACCTGAAACCTTCCACGGAAAATTAAAGATAAGTAGGTAAGTAAGTAATATGAAGGAGACACAGTAAATCGAACAAAGCGTACAGCCTAGAATATTGCGCTCCTGAGCAAGCGCTGTGTATTTTTTTAAGCCGAGGGCACGCTTTAGCGCCCAACTAAGGTGCAAAATG